TTTGGGACCGAGACGGCTCTGGTCGCCCTAACAGATGATCTCTGTAGACAACTGGATCGAGGCGGGTTGGGACTGCTGATTCTCTTATATTTGTCAACAGCCTTTGAAATGGTAGATCATGATCTTCTGGACCACCGCCTCGCAGATGTGGGGATACAGGGCATAGCCAGTAAATGGCTATATGCTCGTTTCTCTCTGGTCGGGGACAGAGGGTGGCGCTAGGGAGGGAGATGTCATCGTGCCACTCCTTGGTTTGTGGAGTGCCGCAGGGCGCAATCCTCTCCCCGATGCTTTTTAACATCTTTATGCGCCCCCTTGCCCAGATTGTCTGGAGCTTTGGGCTGGGTTGTCACCAATATGCTGATGACACTCAGCTCTATCTGCTGATGGATGGCCATACCAACTTGGCCCCGGACACACTGACCAGATATTTGGAAGCTGTGGCTGGATGGTTTCGTGGGAGCTGATTGAAACTAAATCCTTCGAAGACAGAGGTCCTCTGGCTGGGTCGGGATGGTATGGGGATGAGGGACCAACTCCCTTCTCTTGCGGGGGCCCAATTAGTGCCATTGCCTTCCGTTAAGAGTTTGGGTGTAATCCTTGACGCCTCCCTTTCCATGGAGGCGCAGGTTACAGCAACAGCCAAGGCGACATTTTTCCACCTTCACCGCATCAAGCAGTTGGTCCCTTGCCTTTCCTGCCCCGACCTGGCCACAGTGATCCATGTGAAGGTCACCTCCAGGCTTGACTACTGTAATTCGCTCTACGCGGGGCTGCCCTTGTAGCTGTCCCAGAAACTTCAGCGGGTGCAGAATGCTGCAGCGAGGCTCCTCATGGGCTCTCTGCCATGGGAGCATATTCACCCAGTGCTTTTCCAGCTGCACTGGCTCCCGGTGGAATACAGGGACAGATTTAAGGTGCTGGTTTTGACCTTTAAACCCAAGCCCTTCACGGCCTAGGACCCTTGTACCTACGGGACCACCTCTCCTGGTATGCCCCACGGAGGACCTTAAGGTCCATAAATAGCAACACCCTAGAGGTCCCGGGCCCTAAGGTAGTTAAATTAGCCTCAACCAGAGCCAGGGCCTTTTCAACACTGGCTCCAGCCTGGTGGAACGCTCTGTCTCATGAGACCAGGGCCCTGTGGGATCTGATTTCTTTCTGCAGGGCCTGTAAGACGGAGTTGTTCTGCCTGCGCTTTGGCTTAGAATCAATTTGATTCCCTCCCCTCTTTCTTTTTTCCTTTCTCCTCCTGTGAAGAGGCTGCATCTTAATGTTTTGATGTTGTTTTTAAGTTGTATTTTAATCAACTTGTTTTTATTATTGGTTGTTAGCCGCCCTGATAGTCTTGGCTGGGGAGGGCGGGGTACAAATAAAATTTATTATTATTATTATTATGAATTAGTTAATAACATTAGTGAATATTATAATTATTAGGAGCTCTCAAAATTTCACAAAAGACATTTTTACCAAGAAACTTAAAAAATGGAGTTTTTTTCCAGAGAGAGGATACACTAAAAAGTGATACAAGTGATAAAATAATACACAACACTTATTTTATTCTTCCAACTACAACATAATTGGTTATATCCAATGCTGCCATTACATTGTGCAACAGACTTACCCCTGGATATTCTCCCTTCTTATTTCTGCAGTGCCCTTGCACGTGCTCAAAATCTGCGCCAGAGAATAGAGGGCCCCTCTGGAGCCGTTTTTGAGGTGCATGTGGAGAGGAGAGGAGAGGAAGGGGAAGCTCACTGCATGAGCAGAACTCTACTAACACAGCACTGGATACAACTCACTAGTACAGTATTAGTTTAAAGGTATTCATGCCTATTACCCTTTGTACTTGACATAAATCAACCCAAAAAGTACATTATTTTTAGTTTTCAAATCCAGAAGAATTATTTTAGTCAATCACGAGTGATGTTTTACTCTTTAGTCATATTTATTATATCATAATAAAATGTCCCAGTCATTGGCAAGCACTCCTTTTACGATTTATTTATTTGAATGTTTATGATCTGCACTTCTATTAAAAAAAAAAATCAAGGCAGCTTACAACATTAAAAAAAAAATCAACCACTAAATATCTATAAAACATAATGAAAGAAATAGATAGATAGACAGATAGATACTGGTTTGTTAAGAATAAGAATTTGTATTTTAAGAACAAAAATGGGCAAGTTCACATCATGGCTCAGTCAGTCCTAACCTATCATCATCAGCTAATCTTTATTAAAAGGTCTTCATAATCCCCCCCCCAGCTTTAATTAGCCAATAGCTATAATACAACATTCAGCATAATCCTTTGCATGCAAGTAAGTCTCACCAAATTCAAGGAGGGGGCTTGTTATTTCTTAAATATGCATAGACACACTTTCTAAAATCCCACTGACCTCAGTTATTCTCCACCACACCAAAAAATGTTATCGTCTCCCCCCCCCCGCATAAGATATTCTGCCCTTAGGTATTATAGTAAGTTATGCACAGAATTAAACTTTATAACTAGAAATTTGAAAAACATGCTTATTATGATATCAAAATAATGGTGTTCTCACACTCTGAATGCTACTTGCTATTCCATAATTAGCCAACAAATATTTATACTCTTATTAAATTTTACCATCTGTGATGTTTCCCAGAGCACTCTGTGGAACTTAACTTCTGAATAAACAAACTTAAGGTTGAATTACAAGCTACCAACAGATAATTGACTAAAGAAATATCACAATCCTCAACCTGAGAACATTTGTGCAAGTCAATTGAGCCTATTTTTGTTTTCCCTTCTTAAGAAGGCAGGAAAAAAATTCTACCCATCTTTCATTTCTACGATAACTCATTATAAATAAGCTACACTAAGAATATCTGTCTGAATGGGATGCAATTACTTCAGGGCTTGTGCCTTTTCAATCAGTCAGTGTCCCTGCAGTGTTTAGAGTGGCAGAGGGGAAGTGGCCTGTGGTTAAACAGAGGAAATACCAAGGAATTTTAATAGAGCAAATAGTCTTTTTACTTCCTACAGGGTAGCACTTCAAAGGCAGCCTTGCCCCAGAGCAGACAATGTGTTACAGGGGCCATCAGTCATTTAATAGTATGTCAAGTCTATTCAAAACTTACATACAGCCCAAGATACACAAACAGGACAATGGGTCTTATCCTGCAGTTAATGCTTGGGGAGAGCTCTGTGTGTGTAGTCCCTAAAACTCTCCCCCCCCCCCCAAGAATAAAAACTGCAGGATCCTGGTCTGTATACATTTTACATTATCAGTGACAAATGTATTCCAATAAGTGATTGGCATACAGATTAAAGTTCCCAGTGCTTAAAAGCAAGTTATAATCTTAAGTTTGTTCTAACAGTACAAAACGTGTCAGGTTTTCCCTCACACCGTATCATAAATCTACAAAAGGCTGCATTAAAAAAATAAGGTTTAAATGAATAATGTTTTTTTTCTTGCCTCAGTTTTATCAGAAAATTCACTTCCTGTCAGATCATTGAATATCCATTACAAACAAACCAAAATCAGTCAAGCATTATGGCCTTTAAAAAGCTAGTGCTGTTGACCTACAGAACCAGATGTATGTGCAGCTTTAAAATATGCAAATCAAATATCACTTTTGTTATGTGAAACACTAAACCGAAGCAGCAGCTGAATGCATTTTCCTACAGGACCTATCAGTTAACAAAATCCAAGATGCAAATAATATACCCATTGGAGAGTTAAGTTCTTTGCAAACGTTTGGCTTCTTTTGTATTCCCCCCCCCGGGTTAAAGTATTTTTTGTGGACACTTGCCCTTGCACACATACAACTACTCCCTACAAATTCTACCAGTTTTTGGTTTTTTGTTGTGGCTGCTGTTAACTTTTCCCCTCACTCAATGTTATGATCTGAATCCAAGGAAATCTCTGTGACAGTCTAACAAAAAAGGGGAGGCAATGAAAGTCACTCATGCCCTTCGACAAGCGTTCATCTGGAATCTTTAATAAGGCTGAAAATGGAATGGGGGGGGGAGAAAAATCCCCCAAAAGCGTTATACCAGTCCTTTTTTCTTTCCATAAATAAAACAACAAATCACACTCAGGAAACCCATGGGGGTGGGGGTGGAAGTAAACTTCGCAACTTAGCAAAAGCTGCTAACAGGGACAAAAGGTAAAGCCCTAAAACACTCTTTTATCACCTTACAAGCACACCCATTCCCCCCGCTTCCCCTTCGGTCTAATGACTAGGCCTGTAGCCAAACCAGCCTCCGATCATTAAAATAACAAAGCCCAAGCGATCGCCTTTTATCCCTTCTCTCCCAGGGCAGGTCTAGTTAAGGAGGGGGGAGGAAGGCGGAGGGGATAAAAGACCTGTTGAGTGACTTCCCACTTGTTGGCTTCTCCCCTCGGCCGCCCTCCCTCCTCCTCCTCCGAGTTCCTTTGGTGAGAAAATCCAGCCAACCTCCGCCACCACCGGGCCATCCCCGAAAGTTGCAGAAATGCCAGCGCTTCAAAGCAACGGCCACATAAGAAGAGGGGGCGAGAGAGAGAGAGAAAAGTGTGTGTGTGTGTGTGTGTGTGTGTGTGTGTGTGTGAGAGAGAGAGAGAGAGAGAGAGAGAGAGAGAGAGAGTACCGTAAGCACTCAGTGGCAGAGAAAGAGAGAGGGTTGGAGCTGCTGCCCCCGTTGCAGAAATGTCTCCCGCTGCCCTTTGCTGCGAGGTTGCACTGCACGCTGCTGCCCGTGCAACAGCCCAGACGCGCCACCTGCAAGCTCGTCGGCACGCGGAGCTCCAGGGCTTCTTCCCTCGCCCACCCCGCCAGGCACCCGCTTCCTGACAGACCTCTGGGCACCTCTCCCCCCAAGTTCTGCCAACTCGTGCAAGAAGGGCGAGGAAGCAAAGGGAGCCCCCGGGGGAAAGCCTGCTCAAGTCACCTCACCGCCGACGCGTAGAAAAGAAGCCAAACACAAAAGAGTCTTTCTTCCTTCCTTTCGTTTGTTCTTTCTCTCTCTCTCTTACCTTCCAGCCACAAGCATCTCCCGCTGGCCCCTTCCTGCCCCCGCTGCCGCTGGTCCCTCCCGCGGACACGGCCAGCCTCGGGCCGTCGAAGCAGGCAGTGAGGGAGAAGAAGAAGGAGCAGAACTTCAGCCAAGGTGCCATCGTCTGCCTTGCAGCTGCAGCAGCGCCCGGAGCCCCGAATGAAGTTGCTCCACAGGCAACTTCAGGTTGGAGAAGGCAAAGGAGCGGAGGGGAGGGAAAGGGGAATGGCGCGCATGCGCGCAGCAAGGCACCCAGACATATGTCTATACAGTTAGCGCTCTCTCTCTCTTTTCTCCTTTGCCCCCACCCCTACCTTGCCAAGGATACGATGGGGGGAAGGGGGAGGGGCTGGACAACCACTACCATGTGTCTAGGTGCAGAGGTCAATTGTCCGCCCCTTTCTCTCTCTGTGTGTGTTTCCCCCACCCCGGCCTTCTAGGGCTTTATTATTTAATTTGCAACATCTGAGATGCAGTAAAATGAAGTGAGACCGTTTCTTTCCTTCCTCTGCCCTTGCATCAAAGGGAGAAGGGGAAGCTGTTCAAGAAGAAAAGAAAAGAAGCCCCCCCTCAAAAAACAAAAACAAAAAAACCAACCCAGAAAGTTGAAAAGAGTGGGAGGTTTGGATCTTGACAAAGAACACCAAATAATTCACTCCTGGGGTGTTTACACGTCCCGAAGTACAAGCGCTCATAATCCACAAATAGGGAGTTTGGAGTGAATAGCAAAAGTAGTAGAAACGCTTGTTTCCCCCTCTTTCATTGCTTACCACGGAACTGGAAGAAGAGTCATCCGACTTGATAAGCCCATGTCCTTGGAAGGATTCCAGGGTTTCCCTATTAAAAGGAATTTCACAAAGTCCAGGGTTTGCTGGTAGAGGCAGTTAGGTTTAGATGCTGATGTACCCTCATAGGCATTTACACACACACATCGATACTGCAACCCCTTCAAATGACGAAAGGAGGGGGGAAACTTCAAAAATACCCTCACTTCAGGCATATAAGGTTTGTTACACTGAGACACAGTGCCCAATATCACCTATTAAGCTGGCAGATACTTACTGGCAACTGTACCTTTGGGCTAGCAGGTAAAGGTAAAGGTACCCCTGCCCGTACGGGCCAGTCGTGTCCGACTTTAGGGTTGCGTGCTCATCTCACTCTAGAGGCCGTGAGCCGGCGCCGTCCGAAGACACTTCCGGGTCACGTGGCCAGCGTGACGAAGCTGCAGCTGGCGAGCCAGCACCAGAGCAGCACACGGAACGCCGTTTACCTTCCCGCTATAAAGTGGTACCTATTTATCTACTTGCACTTTAAGGGTGCTTTTGAACTGCTAGGTGGGCAGGAGCTGGGACCGAAAGATGGGAGCTCACCCCGCCGCGGGGATTCAAACTGCCGACCATACGATCGGCAAGTCCTAGGCACTGAGGTTTTACCCACAGCGCCACCCGTGTCCCTTTTGGGCTAGCAGGAAATTCCTATAAAAACTTCAGCTCTACTGAATCAGATCAAAGGTCTGGCTAGCTTAGAGCAGCATCCTGTTTTCCACAGTGGCCAGTCAGGTAGGAAGGTAGGCAGCTGCCTTATGCCAGCTCAGATAACAGGCCCATCTAGTTCAGCATTTCTAAACCTAGAGTCTTTAGATGTTGAACTACAACTCCTGTCATCCCTGACCACTGACCATGCTTTCTAGGAATGATGGGAGTTGTAGTCCAACAACATAGGGAACCCAAGGTTGAGAAAGGCTGGTCTACATTGAGATGCAATGGCTCTCCAGGGTTTCAGGCAGGAGTTGTGGCAGCAATAGCTCAGCCATGCAGTGCGTGAATAAATACTACTGTTTGTCTCTCCTGAACATGCTACTCTTCAGCGTCATCGAATGACATCAGATATCCTTTCTCCACACTATGCATAATTTTATACACCTTTATCATGCCCCTCTGACTCAGATTTTTTTCCAAGCAAAAAAGCCCCAAATATCATAACCTTTTCTCTTAGGAGAGTTGTTTCAGCCCCTTGATCCTTTCCATTGCCAATTTTTGCACCTTTTCCAGCTCTACAATATCCTTTTTAAGGATTGGCGATCAGGACAGGACATAGTAGTCCAGAAGTGGTAAGATCTTATATTTCTATTAAAAACATTGTCACATTGACAGATTTAGTTTCAGTTGCTAACATTTTAATTCAGTGTTGGCCCTATTCAGTGTTGGCCCCAAGATCCGTTCTTCTGGTTAGAACTGCCAGTTCAGATCCCATTATGTGAGCTTGAGACCGAACCACAATTGCCATTTGAATGCCCGTTTACCAAGACTGAGGAGATCCTTGTGGATACTCTTTACATCTCTCCATTGCAGCAGCAGTCCAATTATTCCTCCTCTCTGCTTCCTGCCTCTAATACCTACCTTACCACTGCTTGTCATCCATGCTGGCACCTCCTGTATATTGCAGTATACATTAGCCCTACTGAGACATTAACTGGTGTGATGGGTAGACATGTGTTCAAAGCGCTTGTGGGACTACATCTTTAGCTCTGGCCCCTTCATTGCATGGCCATAGGCCATTTGTTCAGTGTAATACTCTCTCCTTTGGATGCCTCCCTGATTTCATTCTCCATTACAGGATCTCCCTTGGGTCAAGGGACAATGGTACAGTCTCCAATGCTAAATTACTTTCATAGCCTGGTATTGCTAACCACAGCAATCTGCCCCTTCTGAGACTTATCTAGTTTGTTTGACTCTATGTTCTCTTTGACATACAGAAAAGGGGGCTTTCCGAATTCCTCCAGGTTGCCTTTCAGTGTTCACAAGTGAGACTAGCATATTTTGTCACTATAGATTAATTCTGGTAGCTGCCACCGCCTTATCCATTCATACCGAACCAGATCAGCAGCCGCCAGATGTAAAGCTGACATAGCCTTTAGACACAGTTATTTAAATCTAATTTAGGTGGCGTTTCACACTACTGTCAATCCTTCCTCTATGTTGTATCAAGCAATGTTTTGAACGTTTGACAATGCTGCTAAATGGAAGAGCTGTGAATAACAGAGGGGCAAAGAATCAGCTAAACAAAAAAGGACTTATTTAGGCCAAGAGAGCATAGCTTCAGGCAAGAAGGAAGTAGCATTCTCACTAATGCATGTGCAGTACAGTCCTGCCTATGCATGTTTACTCAGAAGTAAGTTTGATGGTGTTCAGTGGAGGAGTTTATTCCATATAAAGCATGCTTCATTTATTTATTACGGCCATAGGCCCATACAGGTAAAAACAACACATAAATAACAGCTTGTGCACGTGGGGGAAAAACAGCCGCTAAAACACCACTATAACAATAAAATACTATAAGATGGAATGGCATACTACGCCTTAATTAGCTTGTAGTGCTCCTTGGCGTCGCTTTTGGGTAAGGACAGTGACCAGGAACCTAGCCACTTTCAGGGTCGTATGGGTATCCTTATCCTGCAAGATTTGGGCAAGGTGGAATTTTGGTGGGGTACCCTCTAGTTTCTGTATGATTGATCCCAACAAATTTGCCCGTGGCACATTGAACAAGGGGCAAGTGAACATAATGTGCTGGAGCGACTCCGGCGTCTCCTTATCACATTCGCACATGGCGGGGGCTTGGCCCTTTGAGAATCTATGTCTCAGGACATTGGAGGGAAAAACGTTAAACCTCGCTTTGGTGAAGGCCAGTCTATGGGCAACAGTCGAAAGGGAGGAGAGGTATGATGGAACGCAGTAAGTTAAAGTGATACCAATGTTCTGGGGCGAACAAACACCTCCCCCCAGCGTATAATTTCGCTGTAAGTCGATGTCATCCAGTCTTTGGCGGATCAGTCTTTGAGCAGTGATTTGGTCTAGTTTTAGGGAATCTGAGGGAGAGATTCCATAACTCAGGAGTTTGGCATGAATTCTACTAGTCCAAAGGCTAGAGAATTCATCTCGCCATAAGCATTGGACAAGGTAATGGTTTGGTAATCTATGCCACAATGATAACCAATAATTGAAGACTTGCTTCCACAGGCAAGTTTCTAAGGATGCGATCTTCAATTCTAGTCGCATGGCTGCGTTGCTTACGCATAGGGGGAGCATTAGGAGCCGACGTAGGAATTGGTTTTGCAGAGTCTCAAGAGGAGCAAGATCTGTCATCACGGCCCAGAGCGGGGCAGCATAAGCAAGCACGGCAACCACTTTTGCCTTGAACACCTTTAGGGCCGAGGGAACATGCAAAGCTCCATCCGAAAAGAAAAATCGGAGGAGCGCATATGACAGAGTTTTGGCCTTGTTAAGTAGGTGTTGAATTTGAGCTTTCCACCCCAAATTGTATTGAAAAATAACTCCTAGGTATTGAAATTTTAGGACTTGCTCTATTTTTGCTCCACCAAGCTTCCATTCGTATAATCTCCGGCTTCTGGAGAAAATCAGAATCTTGGATTTAACATGGTTGATGGTTAATTGGTTGAGTTGACAATACGTGGCAAAGATCTTCAGAGCTCTGGTTAGTCCAACACGTGTATAAGATAGAATTACCGCGTCGTCCGCATATAAAAGGAGTGGGCAGCGGTAATCCGCTAGTCTAGGCGTGTGTGTACTTGGAGATGAGTTAACTAGGGGTGCTCGCATGTCGCTGATGAATAGGTTGAATAGGCAGGGAGCCAATATACATCCTTGGCGCACTCCCTTGTTTATTGGTATCGAATTTGTGAGGTCGCCCGCAGGAGTAAGTCTCACTCTGGCAAGGGTACCTTCGTGGAGCTGACTTATAAGCCATAAGAGTCTTCTATCAATGCCCTGTTTCGCAAGTTTCTCCCAAATAATATTTCTAGGAACGCTGTCAAAGGCTGCCTTTAGATCTAAGAAGGCAGCACAGAGGTAGCCCCGGGGAGGGGAGGAGTACTTCCGTGCCAGATGATAAAGAATTATCGCATGATCGGTTGTAGAACGTTTAATTCTGAACCCTGCTTGTTCGTGGCCAATCTGGTTAGTCTCATCTACCCATCGCAATAGTTTAGTCAGCAAAAAGCTGGCATAAATTTTCCCTATGATCGAAAGGAGGCTGATGTTACGGTAGTTTCCTGGCTCCATTGGAGAACCTTTTTTATGAATTGGTACTATAATGGCCTCCTTCCATATTTTGGGGATGAGACCAGAAGCGTTGATTGCATCGAAGGTTTTGGCCAAGATGCCAGCCCACCATTTTGGGTGTAGTTTGATGGCTTCAGCAGGGATCAGGTCGGGCCCTGGGGCTTTGCCCGGTTTCAGCTGAGCTATTAG